ATTAAGATTTCATTGTCAAGTTTGCTACTGATTAACTGATTTTTATTAGCAATGAAACCAAACAGAAAACTTATTTTATTGAAGGAAAATGGAATAAAAAGAGCCTCCAGCAAAACTTCTACACTTTCTAAAAATTTTTGAACTTCTGGACATTCCCACATAATATGAATAATTGTCTCCTTTTCTAAGTTACAGAATGTACAGTGTGGGTTATTCAGTAGTCGAATTTTAAACATGTATAAATTTGTTGTTAAGATGTGTTGAACCACTCTGTACTGAAACCATTGAAGTTTTGTATTTTTTGTTGCACGAAAACAATTTTTATAAATATCCCTCCAATTTAGAACATCAAATTCTAATATTTCTTCCCATCTTTTCCTCCCAGTAGAAATTATATCGTTTTTTACTAAAAGATTATATATATCTTTTGACCCATTTCCTTTTTTTACAAAACACTCAATACTACTTGGAATGGTTGGAAAAACTTGAGAGGTACATGTTCTTACAAAGTCAGATCTAGCTAAATATGACTTAACCACAGAGACTACACCATGGTATTCAAGGAAATTTGAATTTACATTATAAATTTGCTTAAAATCTTGAAAAGTGTAGAAAGTGCCAGTAGAAAAATCTTTGAATAAATCATTAACTATCATCACTCCCTTATCATACCATGTCTTGTAGAATATACTTGTCTTCCCTATCAACAAATCTTTATTATACCATAAAGGAGTTTTCCAAATATTTTTCTTAACATATTCTACCCCCACCCTTTCACTGAACCTCAACAGGGCTTTGAAAACATCACTCCAGAAATTATTTCTACAGATATTACAACATTTCTGAATGTAATCACTTCCACAGGAAGATAGCATATGTAGGTCAATATATGTTTGAAGAATTGCTTGCCATTTAGCAGATTTCTGGTGTAATCTTCTAATCCAGCCTAATTTCAGACTATCTATAAACAACTTTATATCTACCATTTTAAGTCCACCGTTATCAAAATTCTGGGTAACAATATCTCTCTTTACCTTGTCAGTTTTACTGTTCCATAAAAAGCTAAAAAGGATGGAATTGAGCTTATTCAAGAACTGGTTGTCTGGGTTTGGCAAAGACATAAATAAATGGTTAAACTGTGATATCATTAAAGATTTAATAAGATGAATTTTCCCAATTGGAGTCAGTGATCTCCTATTCCACATCTTAATGATAGATTTCAATTTAATTAATTTTTTATCATAGTTTAATTTTGGAATTTCATGAAGATTGACACTGAATTCAATTCCAAGAAGCGTGAATTTGACCTTTCCCCACTGTAATTTCAAGTCAGGTAACAAAGTATCTTCACTATATTTTTTACTTCCTATCCAGATCACTTGTGTTTTGTCAATATTTAGATTCAAACCAGAGAATTTTGCGAAAGCATTCAATTCTAAAATAGATTCTTTTAATGATATTTCAGAGCCATCTAATATAAGAGAGGTGTCGTCTGCATATTGTGAGATAAGAATTGGAATATTACTGATGTTTATACCCTTAATGTTTTTGTTATGTTTTAGTTTAATGGCCAAAATTTCAACACAGAGAATAAAGATATATGGCGCGATTGGATCACCTTGTCGACAGCCCCTTCTTATATTGATGGATGAAGATACATTACCACCTTGATTAACAAAAGCACTGACATTAGTATGAAAAACTTTTATCCATTTACGAATATCTGGACCAAAATTAAAGAATTTGAAAACCTTGTCAATAAATTTCCATGAAACGGAATCAAATGCTTTCTCAAAATCTATCATTAACAGCATTCCGGGAATATTTTTTTCCTCTACATGTTGCATAATGTCATATATTAATCTTGTGTTCTCCCCAATATAACGACCTGAGATAAAACCTGACTGATCCTCACTAATTAATGTGTCTAAAACTTTCTTAATTCTTCTAGCTATGGTTCCTGATGCAATTTTATATACTATATTCAACAATGTAATTGGTCGCCAATTCTTAAGAAATTGTCTAGACTTATCTCCCTTTGGAATACATACTATAACCCCCTGCCTTTGTGTTACCGATAACCTCCCTTTTTCATAACCCAAATTAATAGACCTTAAAATGAACCCCCCAAGATATTTCCAAAAACATTTAAAAAACTCGACAGTAAAACCATCCGTACCTGGGCTTTTATTATTTTTCATACACTTCAAAGTAATTGTTGCTTCCTCCAAAGTAATTTGCCCTTCTAAACTTTCTGAAACAGCGTTGTCTAATTTCAAAACATTACAACTATTTAAGAGATCATTTAAATTGACATCTTCTACACTTCTATTATCATCATATAATTTTTTGTAAAATGACCGTACTTCTTCAAGAATTTCATCTTGTCCAGTTAATGTGCCCTTATCCTCTGTTTCTAACTTGGGTATAATTTTGGAGGTAAAATTTCTGTTTTCTAGATTGAAAAAATATTTTGTTGGTTTTTCTCCTTCCTCTTGCCATCTCGCTCTAGATCTAACAATGCTACCTTTAATCCTATCTAATCTTATTTTTTCTAATTCCTTGTTCAAATGCTCTAATTTCTCTGTATCTACATGGTCTTGATCTTCAATGTTTTGTATTTCATTTCTTATACTTTTTTCAGCCATATTTTGTTGTTTTTTTCTGTGAGATGAATATGAAATTGTTTTGCCCCTGATTTCCATCAATAAAGTTTCTAGAAAAAGCTGGTCATCAATCATGAACTGTAAGTCTGTATCTGGGATATTCTCTATATTATTATGATTATAAATAGGAAGACAATATTGTGTTTTTATTTCCAAGATGGTCTGTTTTATTAGTTTTAAATAATCTTCATCATACAATAAAGAAGAATTGAATTTCCAAAATCCTCTACCACGTTTAAATTCATTAAATTTTAGATTAAGAAATGGAAAAGAGTGGTCTGATCTGTAACTCGGCTCAATGCAAGACTTATTTACACTAGATAATAAGTTTTCAGAGATAAGAAAAAAATCTAACCTTGATTGCTTCAGAGGATTTTTTTTCCTCCATGTGTATCTTTTACTATCTGGATTTACTTCCCTATAAATATCTACTAAAGAATAATTTTCAATGATTTCTAAAACCTTTTCTCTGGCCTTTGAATTATTAATATTTTTATAACTACTATCATAATCAAGATCCGGATTAAGAACTAAATTAAAATCACCACAAACAATATATTTGTCATTCCCAAATTCATCTAATGTATTAATTAAAGTATCATAAAAAAGTGGCGAGTCAGTGTTTGGACCATACAGTGTAATAAGTGTAATATCTGACCCCTCCATAACAATATCTAATGCTAAAAAATTTCCCGATTGGTCCTTCTTTTCCCTCTTAACCTTATATTCAAAATTGTTATTAAATAAAATAGCTACCCCTCTTGAACTGGACCTGAAGGAGCTAAAAAAACATTCAAAACCCCACTGACTTCTAACAAAAGTTTGATTTTCTTCTGAGAAGTGCGTGTCTTGCAGACAGTAGATTGAATATTTTTTTGATTTCAAGTATGAAAAAACATCTTTTCTTTTATTGTTATCCCCGAGACCCTGACAATTTACCGAAAGTAACGATATACCGTCCATTACCTTACTATATACTGCTGAGAAGTGCGAATGTAATAACCAATTTAAGCCAACATAATGCAAGTTCTAACCCAGACATTGAGTGAAGAAAGAAAGAAAGAGAGGGAGAGAGATAAATTTTGATAAGAAAAAGATGTAAAAACATATTAATATGGTCAAACAATCATACCAACTGTAACCAAGCGCCCCTTTTCTTAGATATAAGGAATAGCTGCAGCACGTGTACCATGCGCCGGAATACATTTACACCGGAAGTAGTATACTACTTTTAAAACCAGATATGGAAAGATAATTCCGGATATCTGGATACAAACAGTAAAGGTCTCTCAGGACACCGAATCGTTAAAGATCATTTTTGATTCTACACAATATTGTAGAGAACTAAAAATAAATGCTCATCACAATGAACAATTACATAAATATTGGAAGATAATGCCATAGATAGGATATCATTGTTACTTACCAGAGCATAAGCACGAACTTGTCCACTGCATACCTTCCATATAGAAAAGAACTCACAGACACATTTAAAATAAATAGCTAAACACACAAACACTTAGTATATATAATGTGCTAGTCTGATCGGTAAACCAGAGAAAGACCCTCTCTGGCGGTACTAGCGTACCTAAAAGTCACTTACCGATCATAACCTAACGGTCATATTTCCCGACTTTGAAGTTGTCATCATCTGCCAAGAACTCGTCCGTAAGCTCAGTATCGTTCCACAGTCTGCGCTTCTTATCATTATTCAAAATAACAAATAACTTTCCGTCCATGCTGTACGAATGCTTAACACTTTTAAGTTTATAAGCCTCTTTCAGTGTGTCCTGGTTCCGCTGAGTTAAGTCCTCAAACACTATCAGCTTCTTTCCCTTGAGGTTTCTTCTGTTGCTCAGAATCTCTGTCTTCTTCCTTCTATGTGTAAATTTACATATGATCGTCCGTGGTCTGCCCCTATTAAACCGTCCTAACCTATGGGCAATATCAATATCAGCGATTTTGGTAAAATACAATCACTTTATATATAGCTTAATAAAAAAATTATATTTTCTGTTAAATTGAACTTTTACTCAATTTATAATATTCAACGCATTCTACTATGATATCAAAAACAAAACTAAATTAAACTCATATCTTTCGTACGAATGGGTTTCCAGGGCGTTTGTTGTCTTCTTTAAACATTGTCAGTTCAATAGGGATCTACAAAATACATGGTCTAAAATAATCACACGTTTGAGGTGCAAGGAAGAATTGGATTCTTTGTTTAATAAAAACAACACCAGTAAATAAATTGGGAATCGTGGTGTTTTCGTTTGCTGACTTTTTTACTATAGTGAGATAAATAACTTTACTTATATTAATAATGTACAGATATCCTGGATTACTATGGCTACAAGGAAAGTCTGGGAGGGGCTTTCTTGTACAACGTTATCGAGGTTAGAAAGGACAAGGTCAATGCATCAGTTACATGTACAGAACATCTGACACGCTTGTTCAGGATCGACACAAAATCCAGAATGGCCAATCTCCATGACGTCATCAGTAGATCCGACATCTTCAGTAAATACTATTTATTTTCCTGAATCGATATCAGTCAAAGTAATACCTTTATTATAATTCATATAAGACGTCATTTATCTGAACTGTTCATTGGGGAAATACCACACTATTCTGGAAAGTCTTAAAATATATATATTTTATTCATTTTTTATACCATGATTGCAAACATCATTCTGTTTTTAATCTATAATAATGCTTCAGAAAACATCTACAAGTTCTACGTGTCAGGAGGTTATACGTCTCTAGGCAGATGGATGCATGACGGCGAAGATGACGAAATTAACATCGCCCTCTGGTCCCCCGACAACCCGAATGCCACTCATGGACACTGTGTTTTACTAACACAGACAGGCTTAACCAGTGTGGATTGTGCAGAGAAACACTATTCAATTTGTGGGCATTGATTTTGAAAACTAGTCAAATACATACATGTTCCCTACAGTTCGATATTGTATCTAATAATCCAATAAGGAAACACATAAAATTGTACTTGTCATCTACGGAAGACCGAAATGTCTGCAACAAAAACATAAAATAATTAACTAATTTACTGACTTTCGGAAACATTATGGAAAATTTAAAACTTGTGTTAGCGTTTGCTAGATGTCGATTACATGCCAGAAAGAAAGAGAACTTCAATTTGTCATTTATCTAATGAACTAATTTCCTGATACATTTTTAAAAATGTGTAATATGGTCATCTTATTTATTTACGTATTAAGCAATAAACACAAACAGACCGTGTCGATGAATAATAAAAATCTATGTTGCTGGAATTTTAAGGAAACGCTAAGTTGTGAGTTAAGCAGAACACTTCAAAACGACGGACATCAATGACATGGCACATAAATGACCTTAGTTACAGTAGTGATAATATCTTTGGTCTCATTTCTCATTGTCTCATAATTTTAGCACCTCGTTTTTTTCACATGCTATGGGGGGTTTTCATAATTCGTTATTTTTTTGAATTTTATTATTTTAAGAATGGTTCATTTGCATAATCACCCTCACCTGAAAATTGCGTGTCTTAGCAAAACAGAATATTTTAACAATATTAAAGGTTTAGTAGAGCGAATTTCCTTTTTTTAGTATATATATAGAATTTTTTAGCTAAAAAAAATATAATTAGACTTATAGATGTTCTGATTGCACATAAAGGTCAATTGCTTAAGAATAATTGTTTTGTTTCCATAGTAAATTTTTTTTAATCTTAGAATATAAGTGTTGTTGTTTTCTTATAAAATGGTTCATCTGAAAAGAACATCGTTCGCATTATATGTGTTCTTTTTTGTACATAAATTTTTTTGAATTAGTTTAATATTTTAATAAACCTTAAGAAATCCCTTGTTTTTGTTTTACTAATCTGTAAAATGTAAGGTCATGAGTGTTCACGTCAACAGCAGTGAAACGTGATATGAGTTGAGAGTACGCCTTGTAAATCTTGTCGGAATTTGTAGTCCATGGTCAAAAATTCGATGTAAACATATTTATAAATTCATATAGAAAAATGTTTCTTATCCATGTCACTTTGAGACCTAACCTGCTGTAAAACGTTCAAAGAGAGTTTAATCTGTAGCAAGTTACTACGCTGCTGAAAATACGGTGGCAACCCACAGTTGTCGCTGTTGATGACACGAATCCCATAGAAATGTCTAACGTATTAGCTCCACATTTAAGACGTTCCGTTGAAGATTGGATTAGGTCTCTGATGAGGTAATTTGCGTTGCATTGTTTGCCGACTGTCATGTTAAATGAACGTTTACCATGAAAGTGAAGGTCGTGTCACAAATAAACAACGCTGCAGGTGCCTAGTTCTATGTTTCTTGTACCGGGCTTTATGATTTTTTCAGTTTTATCAGATGATTTGTGTTCTCGATTTTCATTGGCGTAAGTGTGCCAAAGTGTTATTTGAAAATAACAAAAAAATGTTATTTTTCACTAGTGCAAAATGACATTACTTACTTATCTACTGTCAAAAATATAATAAATCACTGTATTCACATGGAATATATAAGAGTAATAATCGAAATATTGAATTAGAAAAAGATGAAAATAAAAACCTTTAGGTCGACCACAAGCGTTATCTATAATATTCGGGTATTTCCACAAATTATCGATTTAGAGCAGCGAACACGTTTTATGGGATCTGACTTATTTTGCTGAGATCATTCGTCACTTTAGTATGATATGCTAACAACTGTGTGCATATCACATGTTCTTTCATGATGTCTCAATTAAGGCAATAAAATTCACACGTGCTGATGAGTCTGATCATGAACTAAAGGACACAACTGCGCCCCGTCAATATTTGAAAATGAAGTTATGAGGTTAACATGTTTGTCACAAAGAAATTAATTTAAACGGTATGTTATTCACTAATACTGAAATACAAAATGACACAGAGTAAACAGATGTGAAAAGGAATTTGACAACAAGCTTGAAGCTTATGTAAGCCATCTTCCATAAATTGACAAGCATACACATTGCTGATAAGTGGTACAAAATTATGATTACTTATAATGCAAGAGAAAATCTAGTGAATGATATATATATTAATATAAATAGATATACAATGATTGAATGTTGAACATCGATAAAATTTCAAACAAAAACCAACAGTAGTACGTCATGATGAATTGATTTCATTCAAAACGATTGCTATAAATTATAAAAGTTTGCACAGCAAATTTCATTTTCTATATCATTTAAAGCCCATAATAGTGTGTCCACATCAAAATTATAATTAAGAGGCAATATATATTGAGACCTCATTTCCTTACATTTTTGACAAAATATTAAATAATAAAAATTATCTTCTGTATATCCATAGCTGCATCATCAACAATCTTTTGAACTTGTATAACAATACGTTTTTCACGACGTTCAGAGAGATTACCAACACACGTCCTCATACAGAAGGTCAGTACTTACAAGTTTAGTAGCTCTGGTAACGATTCGTGTAGATTTTAAATGAATATCTTTTTTAAAAGTAATGTCGAATTGTCCTGGACAATATCTGCATGACAAAAAAGAGGTGAATGTGTTCTAAGGAGAAACGGTTGAGAGTAAATTTGAGTTTACGTAATACTGCAAGACGTTTGGAATCTTTTGAAATAATTGAGGCAACGTGATCTTACCAGCTAAGGTCAGAATTAAGGGAGTAACGCCAATATGTTTATGTGAGTTAACATTTTCTATAATTGTATTATTCGTTGTAAAGGCAGACATTTCAAACTTGTTTTGTTTTCTATTAATCAGTAATAATTCAGCTTTTTCTGCAGTTAACTACAGCGAACGTAGTTGCCTAGTCTTAAAGTTTTGAAATATCCATCTATATGCCTATATGATTCACTAATACCAATAACTGATTGACATCTGAATCATCACTCATAAAACAACTAGATTGATGTTTTGTGAAGAAAATACCATCAGGATGGAAAATATAAACATATTTAAAAACACATGATTTTCCCCGAAAAAAGTACAAGGAGAAGAGCAGGCATTTCTGCTTCATCGACCAAACCTACCAAGTACATCTTGGTCAGTGCAAGAACGAATTTGTGAACAGTGATATAGAATACCATAACTCGAATTGATATGACTTAACATTGCAGAAATCTACGATGACGAAGCTTAAGTCTATCTTGAAGGCATCTGGTCTGTTTCTCTTGTTCCCTCTCTGTTCTCTGTGTGAATATGTCCTTTGTCCTAGTTTTCTCGATCTTAAATAAGAGATATGATTTTGGTGGTCTTTTACATTTTAGAAATAACAATAACAAACTAACTTTAGAGATATCAACTAAATTATCCATTTCATATTTCGAACCTTAAAGTAAAATTCAGGACAAGCTATGATTTTTTTACTCGTAAATCCGACAAAATTTGCTGAATCGGATATCCATCTCCTAGAACCGTTTTCAGAATTATCACTTGATAAATGTGCAATATTTAGACGATCTTATATTGTTCAGACCAGAGGAATCGCTATAAATTCTATTTGTCCGAACTTACATGAGGAAAACTGTTTTGGAGCTGGCAATACTTTTGTTTTACTTGTAAAAGGTCCAGAAGAGCCAGTAATTTTCGACTCGACCGGATTATCTCATAAAAATGTCTTCTTTTCGGTGAATGCAATTTGACAAGATCGACATGACTAATTCGAAACTGATTTTACTCACTCATTTAAACCATCGATGCAATGATATGATGATGATTAATTGTTTCCAAAGATCAATGTTTTGACACGTTAACAAATCTTAAATCAAAATGCAAATTCAAGGACAATATATATATATATATATATATATATATATAAAGAATAAAAAATAATATCAGACATCGTAAATGTCTTCAGGCTTCAGCAGCCTCATTTCTGAAGTATCGTTTTGTCAAAATAAGGAAAACGTATCAACGTTGACAACATCGAAACTACAAGACAGAAAAAATAAAATGGCTGAAATAACTAAATAATAAAAAAAATTAACATATCAAAAGAAGAAGGTTTTGAACTTAACCAATTGAACAAGAACAGATTGATCATGGTTCTACCGGCAGACAAGGAGAATGACACAGTCGTCATGGACACTGACAAATATGAGATCAAAATCGTGGCTAGGCTTGAAGACAACAACACGTATGAAAAACTCAAGAACAACCCTACCAAAAAGTGCAGAGAAGAAACCTCGAATGTACTGGACGCAAAAAATCCCAACATTGGTATCCTATTCCATCTGGACCTACAAAACACGCCCTTCACTATGTTTGCGACAAGCCTGAAGATGGCAAGTAGATAAACCAAAAATATCTGTGACGTTAAAAAATCATTTTAAAAATTGTAGACCATCCGCGTTTGAAATCGTGTGGTCTAGTATGGCAAAATTTGCAAAATCCAGAAAAATGTGGTTTTTCTCTATTGGTTTTAACAAACTCCGTTAATAACCTAACCCATGTAGGCCGGGAAAATGTATATTGATAATAATCAGGGATGCAGGTTCTAATATGTTTAATGTGACGTGTACAGTCAGGGATGTAGGTTCTATGTATGTTTAATGTGACGTGTACAGTCAGGGATGTAAGTTCTATGTATGTTTAATGTGGGATGTACCGTCAGGGATGTAGGTACTATATATGTTTCATGTGACGGGTACAGTCAGGGATGTAGGTTCTATATATGTTTCATGTGACGGGTACAGTCAGGGATGTAGGTTCTATATATGTTTAATGTGACGTGTACAGTCAGGGATGTAGGTTCTATATATGTTTAATTTGACGGGTACAATAAGGAATGTAGGTTCTACATATGTTTAATGTGACGGGTACAGTCAGGGATGTAGTGATGACATATAGAATAAGAAGTGAAGTTATGACAGATATTGAAAGTAATTTAGTGATGACTGATGGTGTA